CTTGGTCCCTCTTCTTCAACTTTGCGGCCGTCTTTCTTCTTCATATAGCGCCTCCTTTCATATTCTTTCATCTTTTCTCTATTTTTTTTTCCGTATTCTTGTTGATACTTTCTGCGCTTCTCGTGCCCCTCTTTGCTCTCTCTGTATTGTTTGGCCTTCTTTCGCAATATCTCGCAGTTTCTCCTTCGGTAGTCCTGTTGTATTTTTCTCCTCTTTTCCTTATCTATTTTAAGTCTGCTTGTGCAAATTTTAAAGTCCACCTTTCCAAAAACTACACCTGTCTTATTTCAGTGATGAAATAATTCACTTGCTGATGGACATTCATTGACGTTCCATTATAGAACTGAGAAGTTGATCTCCGAAGCGAGTCACTGAAAGTTTCCTGAGGAATCTTAACTCATACCGATCATTTAACTTAGCGTAAGAAAATTCAGACATGGCTGTCAGTGTCTAAGATCAAGTGTGGATTATCTAATCTTTCTGATTAAATTGCAGGTTTGTAAATTCACTTCTACATCGCCAACCTCGTTAAGAAAGAACTTCCAACTGTTGCAGCCATTGTCGTCTCGTCCACGGAAGCAACGTGCAAGACAGCCGATCACATGCGACTATTCTCTCATAACGGTGGAACAAGTGAAATAACAATTGGTCTACGAGGAACGTGCGGTGGATCCTGTCACCTTTAAAACGTATCCCTTTGGCTACGAGCGTTTGGCACATCAAGAAATCAAAATAGTGAACATGTTTGTTGATTTATGAAAGCAATTAGAAAAAGTTTTTGGGAGCGTGACCACCAGGGTTCGCACATGTCCCACGTGTGAAATATGTATTTGAAAAATCACATGTCGTCTCCTTTATTTTTTACTTATTTATTTATCTATTTATTTTACAAGGCGTAAAAATATTATTTCCATTATGTATGACGTCTTTCAAGCAAGAGTTGATCGTCCTTTAAGTGAGTCTTGATCAGTTTAGGGAAGGGTAACAAGTACCGTGGGATGCCTGTGGCATACTAAGGTAAAAATCCCGCTGGGTTTCTTTTTCATTCCACGGACAAATTGCAAAGCTAGCCAATAGAAATGCGTAAAATCTTTATCGATTTTTAACTAAGGTAAAAATTGGCGGCAGGATTTATTAGAAGCGGATGAAGTTAATCCTGAGCTCTTCTGATATAAGAAAACTTGTGGAATTCATTTCTGCATATCTTTTATTTCATTGGGTCCAAAAAAAAAACAAGCGGTCACATTAAGTGCGTTCTGAGGTAATTTCGTTCGAGGCAGAAAACTTATCATATAAAAGCTAGAGAACACCGTGTGAACAAAGATCTTTCGATTCCTCATGGGGACTCAGAATTTTTTTCTTTATCCCACGCTCGTTACAAGACGAAAAACATCTTTCATAATTCTTCACCGAGCTCAAAAATTACCATCTCTACTATTTCTATCTACAAACATTACGCTATCGACATTGCTGATCCTAGCAGTATGCAAGACGCGTGTCATATGAACTTCGTAATTGATCCCGCTTACCGGAGAGTCTCTGTGGCTCAGAGGTAAAGCATCGGAGTGCGGAATCCGAAGGTCTGAGGTTCGATTCCTCATGGGGACTCAGACTTTTTTTCTCTGTCCCACGCCCGTGACTGTACGAAAAACATCTTTCTTAATTCTTTACCGAGCTCAAAACTTACCATTTCTACTATTTCTAAAGGTTATTGCGTTACAGTAAAAAAATGTATTGGCCACTATGAAGCGAAAAGTGACAGAATTAAGAAATAGTGGAATTTGGCTCGTGCAGGCGAAGTAAGATTTGGATTCCAGTGGCTAACTTTGACGAATTTTGCAAACGGAAATCCGATAGACCCTTGATACTATTTTGTGCTGTTTTTGTAAGTAATTTATATGTTAATTATTCGGCGGAGTTGGATGTTTACCATAATTGTGGATCTCTCCGTGATTTTGCGGAACCTTCGCTTTTGAAATAAGGGACTTGTCAGAAATTAGCAGGGGGGGTGGGAATTTTAAATTTGGGTTCGAAAATTAGGTGACCCATCCCTGCAATGGGAGTGAAATTTGCTAACCCTCCCCTTGAGCTTGGCCTAAAATATCATGACCCTCCCCCTCTTGTATAAATGATAAAATCTAGTTCTTGCAATACACTAGGGTGCGTCAGTGTTATGAAAACTCAAATGAAAAGTACATGTTTGTTAAATTCTTGCTATAGTACTTCACAGTTTATATCCATAACGTTCCGTAAACCGTTGTATTTTTCTCTTTTTTTTGCCAAATAAAGAACTTCCTTTTTCTTCTGTGGGTGAACCTCTACATGATCACGGGCATATATTTGCATGACCCTCCCCCTTTTAACTGCCCATTTTTCATGACCCCTCCCTTTTCTGAGGCTCAAAAAGTTGTGACCCCCCCTCTGTTTCCACCCCCCCTCCCCCCCTGCTAATTTCTGACAAGTCCCTAAGAGCAACCTTGCATTGCTGCAAGACCAATAATTACAAGTTCACAACCATGTTTCATCTGTAGATTAAGTAATTTAAGCACGAGGTGGCCATAAGTGTTCTTCGATTAGATAAAGGAGATGTCAGTGGTGCTCAAATCGATTTCTCTTTTGAGCTTGTTGTTTTGCCTTATTCCATTTTGGTTAATTTAGGTTGTGTTTTTTCCAGGGAAGCGTACGTTTTTGTGTGATTAACCCTGAAATTTAAAATAAAATCTACCGATAAGCCTCTCACCTTGCGTAAGGTTTATTTTGAAATTGACATCGCGCAATGGTCTTGAAATATCACAAAATTAACCACAACTCGCTAAGAAATGACTCAGTACAGTCTTTTAGTTGTATTCAAGTGTGTAAAGCCTGTTTACATACTTACTGACGTTTTTGATAGACAACAGCGGAGATGGCAATTGTTTTTGCCGAGCTGTTTCACTTTAGGGGGGATAAAACAGGCGATGAGACGGAGGTCAGTAGATTGAGTTACAGTTTGTTTCAGAAAAATCCAAAGGTTTTGATCTGCCACTCTTCGCTATTTTCGGCTTCAAAAACAGTCACGGTTTCTACAACACTAAAATTTTCTACGCTGATTTCTTCGGCTGATGTAACTGACTAATCAAGGTAGTTTACTGTACCTGCACGATTTCTTTCAATGCCACGCTCAGTAGCCAACGCATTCCACGGTAACACCCTAAGCGTTTTGTTTGCATAAAAAATGGTCTGAATTGAAAGGGTGACTTGTGACGATTTATCAGCACGAATCGTTAATTTATGCTGGAGTGCTAAAAATAATTTGGAAAAAAAAATGGTCTGAAGGAGCCGATACAACTACTCCGAAAAAATAAGGTTCGGCCCCTGAACGACGCCACATCCTTCTTTCACGGCGTCAACAAACATCGGCTCAATTTACAACAATGTCTTAAATCTTGTTCAGTCTCCACCGGGTGATCCACCTAAAAGCTTCCATGAAAACGCCTCAAAACACAAAAAATTGGATACTTACCGTTGAAAAGATCCTTGTGTTCTATTCAATCGCATTAATAAAATTCATTACCTCCATTTAACGTTGACATTAGACAAAGTTAGCAGTTCGCACTTTCTACGAAGAAACACGTTATGTCTTCCAGATTTCGGGTATTTGAAGAGAACTCTCGACGTATAAAGTTATTTTTACAGCATTGTATCACAGTTCCTTGCAGAAAACTTTGTGCGCTTGAACCTTTCTCTTCGTATAAGTTTGCATTATTTAGAACTACGGAAATTAAACGAACATTTTTAAATTTTGACAACTCAAAGTTCAGTTTTCATTGGAAGCCAATAAAATGCTCTTGTACTCAGGATTTGATGCGCGTCAATCATTTACAGCCGTTCCGCCTGAACTGAAATCTTTCCATCTTTATTTGTACCAAGAGATATAATAAATATCTTGCTATCTTCGTTTTTTCCGCTCGATTTATGGCCCGCGCGCTTCGCACTTGGGCCATCAATTCGATTCTCCAAAGAGACTGTCTCTAACAATCACGACCAAAGAAACAAAAGTGGACAAAGCAATTCATCATTGTTAATTGTGATCGGAGATGATAGATACAAAGGAATTATTAAAACTTGCTGGGCAATCATTTGATCCATACTTTACATTTATACTTCTAAGAAAACGGGGACAGTTCCAAAGTAAAAAAATAGATAGGTTGGTAAAATTTTTATGCAGAGTTAAGGCAGGAGTCTATAGTGCGTCACAACTACTCTTTTTCCTGATATATAATGTTTAATTTTGATAGGAATAAATTACGGTCAAGAATCATTCATACAGACATCTTTGATAGTGTTATTATATCACCACATAAGGTGAAGCTCCGTCTTCTCAGGAAGAAAATCATTTCAGCTGAGGGAAGAGGATGAAGTGAAACTTCAAGACTTGCAAAAACGAGAAATTTTAAAATGAACTCTTTAGGAACAGATGATGGTTAATTTTACTCTAAACGCTGACTTACTCTTTTTTTGCAAGTAATAATTGCATCTCTAAAATTCATCAGCATTAAGGACATTTAATTAGTAACAAAACAAATTTAGGTTTGTAACAGGCCTGGAGACTTGGCGTGTTCTGATGACAATATGGCGTTAACGTCAAGCGCTCTCACTTACAATGGAATAAGAATTGAATTTTTTTACCGTTAAGAAAAAGACGACTCCAACAGCTCTTAGTGCTTTTACCCCTTAATTTAGTGTAAGGCAAGACAGTAGAATCAAACTAATATCTTGTTCTTTTCTATATTATACGTATTTTCTTTAACTATATATGTGTTGTTGTATTCAGGGTAAGTGTCATCGCCAGGAAAATATACCTAAGATGTGTTGATAGTGTTTAGAATTACTCTTTTCCGCAAAGAATACCAACGACTGCTTTCTAACGATATCCTACGAGCTTCCTGTAGAGAACCGGTGACTTTTAAGTCAGCTTTTTTGAAAATTATTTACGATTTTAACCCCAGCGGGATTTAGCTTCATAGACAGCAAAGTGCTTGCCTGATTGTCTGCTTAACTGCTCGCCTTACTTCACTGATCTTCCAGCAGTAAAGAAACGGATTCAACGTCGAGTTAAAGTAGACTAAGACAATTGTTATCTCCTTAAAGTGCCATGGAACTGTTTTCCAGAGCATAATTTCCACTATACCATATGGTGCATAACAAACAACTAATGCTAGTTGAACCCAAAGTGCACTGTACACTGCCTTTCTGTATCGCGCCACGTTCAGTGCACTTGGTTGGCTCGGCTGTTGTTGAGAATGATCTTGTACATGAGCCTGATGGTGCCTAAGAGCGCTAAAGATTTTTGTGTATGAGGTGATTGAGATAACAAGGCAAATTGGTATAAGTATTCGGCCGTACGAAAAGATTATTTTCGTTTTAAAAATGGTGCTTAAAGAAGCAACAAGACTTAAAACCCAAAAGTTAGCTAAAATAATATATGTGCGCTTCAAAGTTACGATTTGTCTGTATCTAAGCCCCAACAGCAGGGCGAGCAGTCTGTCCACGCTTATGGCTGTCATCGTCAATAACGACACTCCACATAACATATGGCTTGTGATGATGACCGCGTTATTTATGTAGAGATTCGAAAAGCTCAGGGTAGCATAGAGGGGCTGGGCAACAAGGCCAACCAAAAGATCAGTTGTTGCCAAACAACGATACAAGAGTTTGGACGGTGGATGAAGGGAAGATTCCTTGTGAAGGGAAACAAGGATCAGAGAATTCCCAAGAAATGCTGTCACGGAGAAGAGAATGTGCACTGCTGTGAAAGAAACTGATTGTTAATGCAACTCATCTACCTATTAGTTGAATAAAGCCGATTCTTTTTTAACTGTGTTTTACCTCTTATTAAGGTTTTTGCTGCCATCACTTCGCAGCTCAAAAAATGGTTGATTCCTTTCTCCACTAAGTTACCTGTTGTAGCGACGAGAGATATTTCGTGTCAACAAAAACTGCTCAGCCACAAGCACTTAAATTGTACTTCCAATTAGCATCTCCCCAGAGACTTCCTCAGATACGTTTGCTTTCTTTTAATGCGCATACAAACTGTCAACTACGACAGTTCGAGAGAGTGTCCTGCAATAATTATCCTTAATCCCTTTTTCAAGCAGTCTTCTATATTTTAGCCGTCTTTTATTTTAGGTGTTCGCCAATGTCACAATTTGTCTACGATTGTCTTTAAGGCTCATTCATTCTTAAATTGAACACGAGAGTTTGGCGAACACCAGTTTAGTGATAAAACTTGTCGCTTTTTATCAGAAACAGGAGTCAGACTTTGCTTCCATTACAAAAGCAAACACTAAGTTTTGCACAAAACTTTTATTCTGAATAATTAGACATAATTTGATGAGAAATTTTTTTCAAGGGAAGGGCAAGAGTTTGGAATAAATAAAGAGAAAATAATTTTCCATTATTTCCTATTGGTAAAGCATTTTGGGTCTATCTAGGGATCTTCTAAAATAAAAGACGAATGAAATACATCTGGATCAATGATAATTAATTCAGGACACCGTCTCGAACTGAAGTAGTTGACAGTTTGTATGCGCATTAATAACTCAGCGTAAAATTTTACAAACTTGATTATTTTTTACTTTCGAACTGTCTCCGTTTACTTAGTAATGTAAATATAAGTTGCAACCACGAACAAAAAAAAAACAAATTTCATATTTGTCATTCAAAAGGCATTTTGTGGGCGTATTTTTAACGAGTAAACGCTTATGAGAAAGTCTTTTAATAAAGGTTGCTTATAAAGTAAGAATCAAATGATTGCTCAGCGAGTTTAATTCCTTCGTATTCATCATTTCCGATCGCAATTGATGATGATAAATTGTTTTGTTCACTTACGTTTTAAGATGTGACCGTCGTGATCAAGGGAGTGTGGTTAAACACTTTAGAGGATTTCAATCATCTGCCATATAAATGGTAGAGTCCTTAACACAAAAACACTTTTGTTTGCTCATTAATCAGACGTAGAAATGAAATGAGATCAATATCTTAACTTTGTTCGTGATTGTTAGAGACAATCTATTTAGAGAATCAGCAAATGGGAAACTATCTTTCGCGTTGTCACCCGAAGTAAACATGAAACTGGGCACAAACCTAAGTCGCTTTTCCTCTATCTTTTGATGTAATCGACACAACATTGTACGTGTATGTTTAACTTCTATGCTACCGCACAGAAAATACAGATGCAATTTACACTAATGAAATTTAGCCCTTGACCAGGTAAAATCGCCAGCTTGAACTTTTTATCTTCAGTTTTAATGGCTTATTTGGCTGGTCGAAAAATACCAAGATTTCGATTAGTGTTTGTCTCACTTAGCTTTGTGATTGGTCCTGAAAACTCATGCCACCTATCAACCAATCAGAAATTTTTGATTTGGGTTATCATAGGCTCCTCGTGGTATTGTCTTTCGCTCTGATGGTCAGTTGTGATCAGCCTGGATTTGGTATCGAAAATTACTCTTCTTGAATAAATTATTTATGTTTATCACGTTTCAGTCTGGTCGTCCTCCAGCTTTTTCATTAGTTCATCACCGGCCTATACTGCATGGAGCTGTTTTTAAAGAATTCTATTTTGACCTCCTTAAACTCTTGGTGGCGACGGCCACTTATATCATAGTCAAAAACAATCACTGGATTCCTTAATATATTTAAGATCGAACCCCACGGGCTGATATCAAAACCATTCCTGCCCCTTCCCATCTCCATGCGTTTGACATCTTTTTCTTAAACTTAGCTATTTCAGTTTCTTTAACAACACAAGTAGCAATGTACGTGCTGGACAGTCCTATGCGACTGTTCTCTATTCAAGTTTGCCAAATAGCGATTTCATTGTTTAAGGGATAAAATCACTTCTAACCTTTTAAATTGCCGCAATTTAATTGAATATGTACTTTTGTTGCGACTCTTCCTACAACTGCCGCTACGACTCTTGCTAAGAGCAAGTTCGTGATATGCGCAGACTTTGATCAAATATGTACTCAGAATTTATTACCGAAATTTCAACAGATAAAAGGCAGCTAAATCGGAAATAAAAAACTAACCGAATTCTACGCTGTAGATTTATTCACTAATCTGAAAACATTTGTACTCCGGAAAAAAAAGATTTCTACTGGATGTCGGTTGCCATCATCATGATCATAGTAGAAGTCACTTTGAAACTCACCATTTTTTCCACCATTTTCAGAATCTAAACTGGAAGCAGAACTTGAATCATAGCCAGCAGATAAAAGAGCTTTCTTGTATTCGGCGATTATAGCAGTTTCTCTCTCGAGTGACATGTGTGTATAAGATTCACCATCCTCAATGGCGAGAACTGGCACTAGTCCAGTAACACCTTCTACAGCCGGGTCGTCTTCATCTTCACTTCCAGGGCAGTCAACTGAAACACTAAAGGAAAAAAACAGGAGGAAAAATAGGCGCACTCACAACATTTACACTCTCTTAAACACTTCAAATGCAGTAAGAGTCACAAAGACGCTGTTAGATTTAAGAAGCTAAAAATGAACTTTTATATCTTGTTTTAGACTTAAGTCCCCGACAAACATACCCTGTCGGGCGGTAAGCACCCGATCAGGCCCAATAAGGAAATGTCAACATCGGATAAGTTACTATCTAAAATGTACGCTATGATGTCATACCCCCAAACAAGTCAGCTGTCAATTTAAACCATCTCATACGTGAAAAAGAGTTGCTTGCAATATGACTTTTCCTCACACACTTTGCTCGCCATCGACCGTCAAAAATTTATTATGCTGTGAATTCTCATAACATCGTAACTCATAGCTTCCTGTTAACGAGTCAAAGAATATGCAATTTTGCATTCCGCATCCAATGAAAAAAAACAAGTTAAGTTTTTTTCGGAAATTAAAATGTCTGAGTTTACTCGTGGAACTGTAATTTTAACCCAACCATATAAGGCAGTAAAGGAACACGAAAGGGATCTCAAATTCGTTTCGGTACTTGGATTGAACCTGTTCGACTAGAATCTCGAGAATGGACCTGTGCAATTGAAATGTCGGTTTGTGTCAGCCGACGACTGTTTCAATTTCACTATTGGGAATAAATGTTTGGCAAAGAAGCAGATCGTCAGAGCGGACTGAATAACACAAACTATCATATGCTTCTTCCATTTTTTCCTCCAGACTCGCTCCACAGCGACATTGAAATGGGACATTTGCAGCCAAAACGTGAACGAGTTGAACATAAATTCAATGCTTAAACCTATGGCAACACGAATAAAAATTCCTCTATTAGGTGCATGTCAGAAAGGGATGGATTGTCGCCGTTGTACATAAACCTGTACATCTGTATGTAGTTTGTAGCTTGTTGACTACATTGACAACAATGGTCTGTGTGAAGTCTTTCAGTCTGCCTACCGTGCTCACCATAGCACCGAAACGGCTCTTCTCAGAGTCTACAATGACATTGCTATGTCCATTGACAATAAAAAATCTGTTGTTTTGGTTCTACTGGACCTGTCTGCTGCTTTTGATACAGTTGATCATTCTCTTCTCCTTGCTAGACTATCTACCCGTTTTGGCATTTGTGACCAGGCACTGGACTGGTTTCGTTCATATCTATCTGATCGCACTCAGTATGTCAGAATCCAAGATGTCTCTTCTGATGTGCATGCCTTACCTTATGGTGTACCTCAGGGTTCCGTTTTGGGCCCCTTGCTGTATTCTTTGTACACTTCCCCTTTAGGTGATATTGCAAGATCTTATGGTCTATCTTATCACTTTTATGCTGATGATACACAGCTATATTTATCTTTTGAAACGTCATCGCCTGAGGATATGTCAACATGTACATCTGCTCTTGAAGATTGTGTTAAAGATATTGACCTTTGGATGTTAAATAACAAGCTCAAGCTGAACAGTGGGAAGACTGAAATTATAGTTTTTTCATCCTCCTATCGCCCACGTCCTGCGTTAACAAACCTGGTGATTGCCTCTGACACTGTTGACTGTTCAACTACTGCTAAAAATATTGGAGTTATTTTTAATAACTCTCTATCGATGTTGCCGCACGTTACTGCTGTTTGCAAGTCTTCGTTTTTTCATTTACGCAATATTTTTAAGATTCGCAAGTTTCTTTCTTACGATACATGTAAAACTCTAATTCATGCCTTTGTTACTGCTAGGATCGACTATTGTAACTCACTGCTCTACGGTCAGCCTAAATGTATATTGAAACGTTTACAGAGTGTCCTAAATAATGCTGCTAGGCTTATTCACCTTACTAGTAGATATGAGCATGTTACGCCGTTGCTTATTCAACTTCATTGGCTACCAATTGAACAAAGAATAACTTTCAAAATTGCGGTAATTACATTTAAGGCGCTTCATGGTACTGCACCTAGCTATATCACTGATCTCATCAAGCCTTACACACCTGGTAGACTTCTTAGATCCTCCAATCAATTTTTACTTTCTACATCTAAATTTAATCTTAAAACTTATGGTGGCCGGTCTTTTACTATTGCCGCACCTTCTGTTTGGAATGCACTTCCATTCGAACTTAGATCTTGTAATTCCCTTTCGTCTTTTAAATCTAAGCTCAAGAAGTGGCTTTTTAAAATTGGTTATGCTGTTGTATAGAATGATGATGTTTTTATAGGATGACAATGTAGTTTTGTAGTTTTGTAGGTTTAGGATTTTGTTCTTATTTTTATTATGTAAAGCGCTTTTGGACCATTGGGAATTTTTATAGAATGACAATGTAGTTTTGTAGGTTTAGGATTTTGTTATTTTTATTATGTAAAGCGCTTTTGGAC